TACAGTTTGTGAAGCAAGTTGGCTGGCAGAGAGCTCATATCTAAAAATAGAGCATGTTTACTCTGCTGGCAGCTGCTCAGTTTTTCTTTGGACTTTGCTGGTAGCAATTGAGTTTCTGAGTTTCTCTTTGGACTGTTTAACTCTTAGACGTGTGTGTGCTGAATAAAGACAATTCTTTCTTCACCTACAGCTCCAAGGACTTTTTTGCCAGTTACACGGCTTGTAGACCTGTGTGTGAAAGGTTTGTGAATGGGCTTGAGGGGTCTGTGAGCACCAGAGACCCAGCCCTAGCTCTCCAATTGGTGTAGTCGGCAGGATTCTAAGCAGGTACAGGAACCAAGAAGCCTTTGGAGAAGGAGGAAATGTGGCTACTTTTGAATATGTTGTGCCCCATGGCCACTTTCCTGTTGACTGGGATCTGGGTGCTGCTCACTGTACTGCAAGTCAGCATAGACCAGGCACTACAGCAGAGAGCCCCTTGGGAGGGGGAGGAAATATGACTATCCTTGAGCATGTGGTGCCCAGTGGCCACTATTCTGCTGATTGGAGCCTGGCTATGCTGCAAGTTGATCAAGATTTGAAGCAGAAAGCAGAATTGTTGGAAGCATGGATAGATGTCCTGGAGGATGACATGCAGCAACTGGTCACTCCAGCCTCTCACACCAGAGAAGATGACGAACCCAGTGGTGAGTTTGGGGAGACCATGTGTCTCCAGGCACGAACTGTTGTGCATCAGAAAGTGAAACATGAGCAGCCTATGGGACTGGGTGGACAATCGGTGGGCAATCCACAGGTGACCCAAGTCACCACCTATGTCCCATATACCCAGGTTGAGTTAGTTGACTTGGGGAGACAGTTTTGGCATAAACATGCGGAGCCCCTGGCTGTTTGACTGTTGCAATTATGGGACCTAGGGGTAAATAGTGTGGAATGCTCTGGTGAAGAGATGGAAAAATTGGCCTCCATCACCATGCACCCGTCCCTGAGGCAGCGGCTGCAGAATAGCTGCAGATACACAACAAGGGCCAAGTAATCACTCCTTAATGGACTGGGTGACTCCAGCGGCCTGAACCGTGTGGGCAAATGCTTGAGAATTGCCCAAGATTGTTAGTAAATAGCAAACGTATGCTGAGTTAGTTCAAATAATTTGAGAGCTGGGGATGGAGCAGTCCATGTTTAATGTGAACACTCATAGCCCAGACGATGAAAATTTTACACTCCCTTGGCTCAGGTCTGGTTGGGGGTCGAGCAGCACATTTCTTGTAAATAAAATGTGTGTGGGTGGAGTTAGTGCGCACCTGCACCCATGTGTCTTTTTAGTTTGCTGCTATTGTGTGCTCTGCAGTTTGTGGAGTAAGCTGGTGGGCGGAGAGCTCCTGTCTAAAACTAGAGCCTGTTTACTCTGCTGGCAGCTGCTCAGTTTTTCTTTGGACTTTGCTGGTAACAATTGAGTTTCTGAGTTTCTCCTTTGGACTGTTTAACTCTTAGACTTGTGTGTGCTGAATAAAGACTATTCTTTCTTCACCTACCGCTCCAAGGACTTTTTTGCCAGTTACCCAGCTCATAGACCTGTGTGTGAAGGGTTTGTGAATGGGCTCGAGGGGTCTGTGAGCACCAGAGACCCTGCCCTAGCTCTACAGTTATAGTAAGGAGTTATAACCCCAAGGACAAGGGTTCAGATCCCTGTAACCAGGCCAGCTGTAAAAAAAAAAAAAAAAAAAATTAAAACAACAAAAAAAGAATCAAAAGAAATAAAGTCCTTGCATATTTATCTGTTTTGCTGTGTACTTAATAGTGCTTTGCTCCCCACCCGCTCATGTAAAAAAAAAAAAAAAAAAAAAATTAAAATAAAACAACAAAAAAAGAATCAAAAGAAATAAAGTCCTTGCATATTTATCTGTTTTGCTGTGTACTTAATAGTGCTTTGCTCCCCACCCACTCACCCCTTGAAGCAGACACTGCTGTAAAATCAGAGGCTTTGGGAATATTATGAAACAGCCACGTGTGTATCTAAACACGGGGTGCACAGTGCACAGACAACAAAACCAACTGTTCTAAAAAGTTAGTTATTACCGAACTTAGATCGTGCAAATGCAAAGTCATGCTGGGCAACTACAATTTATTATCTATATTGATGAACTTTCCAAAGTGAAAGCAGAAAAGTTAAGATTAATGAGTATTTCATTGATTTCACATTAGGTTTTGACTTAAATGAAAAACTTTAAAAAACCCAACAATAAATTTAGGGCTGGCTGGGTAGCTCAGTTGGTTTGAGCACCGTGTTACAACACCAAGGTCAGGGATTCGGATCCCTGTGCCAGACAGCTAACAAATATTAATTTAAAAACCTCAGATTTTATGCACTGATTCCAAAGCCTGAAAAAGGCACACTTATAAAAACAGAGCTAAAGTGGCCGATAAAGAGAAAGGTGAACAAGCCAGAGTTTTGGCTGAAAAACTAGAGGTATTACTCGGGTCATTTGTAGCACGTTGCTACTAAGAGACGAGGACTCAAGTGCACTGAGACTGACTTCAAATTATATACAATATTTCTTGAATTAGCCCAACGATGGAGCATCTTGATGAAATATAGATCAGTTTTGACCTTGAACTCCCTACCGTAGACACATGATGCGAAAAGTGACTAAATGCTGTTAAAGGGATTCGATTTAGAGTAGACAGCATTTAAGAAGCTCTACAAGAGAAGGAAACAACGGAAGATGCTCACAGAACCAATTGTCTTTCACGGAAAATAAGATCAATTTTGAATTTGTACTGCCACAGCTGTCTCATACAAACTCCAGGTTTCAAATGATGTTTGCAAAAGCTTACAAAAACCCCAGACAGAGCTAAGATTGACAAATTTACTTTCAAAAAGATTTAAAAATGTACTTCTTTAAATTTAGAGAAAATATTTTTCTAAATTGGAAGAAATTGCCCATGAAATACACACAAACGACATTTCAATAAAATATGCAAAGGACAAAAAGTGTTTGTATGATTATGAAGGAGAAAATTCTCACATAAATAATCCCAAAATAATTTTATTTTTATTTATTTGGCGGCTGGCTGGTACAGGGATCGAACCCTGGACTTTGGTGTTATCAGCACCACGCTCTGACCAGCTGAGCTAACTGGCCCCCAAAGTAATTTTAATATAAAAGACTTTCTGGCTCTTATAGGTTAAAGTATAATGCCAATCAAGAGAGATGTGAGCAAATAGAGTATCATTCTGCTATTTTTGGTTTTCTTTGTAATATTCTACCATTAAAAAATGTCAAAGAACTTAAGAAATATTGCATTGCAGTGAGAGATGGTGCTGTGGTCTGAATGTTTGTGTCTCCCTAAAATTCCTGTGTTGATATCCTAACCCCGAGGAGATGTGATGACATGAGGAGGTGGGGCTTTTGGGAGATGCTTAGGTCATGAGGATGAAGCTCTTATGAATGGGATTAGTGCCCTTAAAAAAGAGGCCAGAGAGAGACCCTCTCCGTCCGTTCACCATATGAAAGAATTAAGGCTGTTTATGAGCTAGGAAGCAGGCCCTCTCCAGACACCACACCTGCCAGCACCTTGATATACGACTTCCGAACCTCCAGAACTGTGAGAAATACATTTCTGTTGTTTAAAAGCTACCCAAAGGGCCGGCCTGGTGGCGCACTGGAGAGTGTGCCACTTGAGAGCGTGGCAGCGCTCCCGCCGAGGGTTCGGATCCCATGTGGAGACCGGTTCCCGCTCACTGGCTGAGCGCGGTGCGGGCGCGACACCGAGGGTTGCGATCCCATTGCCGGTCAGTAAAAAAGACAAAAAAAAGGAAAAAAAAAAAAAGCTACCCAAAGGGCCGGCCCGTGGCTCACTCGGGAGGGTGCGGTGCTGATAACACCAAGGCCACGGGTTCGGATCCCTATATAGAGATGTCTGGTTAGCTCACTTGGGAGAGCGTGGTGCTGACAACACCAAGTCAAGGGTTAAGATCCCCTTACCGGTCAGCTTTAAAAAAAAAAAAAAAACTACCCGATCCATGGCATTTTGTTACAGCAGCCCAAATGTACTAAGGCGGGGTGAACAGCACTCTACAGAGGTGGCGATTTTAAATTCAAATTAAAATATTTGGTAGTTTCTGTGATACTGATAAATTATCATGTGATCAGGTACAATGTGGAAACGTGATACCCTAAAAGGCATGGCTCATTTCCGTCTCAACAACTGTGGTTTGTTTGTTTGTCGGTGGCCGAGGGCAAGGGCTGCAGCCCTGACCTCGCGCTGTAACGCGGCTCTACCCGCCACGGCTCAGTTCCGCATCAGGAGGCGCGTTACTGATGTCGCTGCTGGACCTCAGCAGAGCAAGGCTTCTCCAACCGAACCAAAGTTTAAAGAAGAAAGAAGTGCAGTACCTGAAGAAAGCCTGAGTCCTTTGGCATTATGGCCAGAAGAATACAAGTTACGTGGCGACTTTTTATTATAACAACATAACTACTAATGTTGCTGAGACGAAGTCAGGAAAACTGAGTTTTGTGGAATGAATCTGTCCTACCGAAGCCCCCGGACGCGTGCGGGCGTAACCGGGTCCCGTCCCTTCTGACGGCCTGCTGACCTGCAGTCACACACAGGGCTGCAGGGGGGCTTTAACTTGTCACGAGGAAACACTTCCGTGAAGAGACGCCGTCACGAAGGAGCCGGGCACACCTTACGGAGCCGCCTGTCAGCTCCACCCCGCGCTCAGACGCAAGGCTCGGGACCTCGAGGGCGGAGCCCCTGCCGCGGCTCCCGAGGGGTCCTGGGTCCTCCCGCCGGGCAAAAGCGCCCGAGCAGACCGGCCGCCGCGTCCCTGCGGCTGAACCACCATTCCCCAGAGTGCTGCGCGACCGCGGACTCCGTCTCCCAGAGTGCTTCGGGGCCGCGGACTCCGTCTCCCAGAGTGCTTCGGGGCCGCGGACTCCGTCTCCCAGAGTGCTGCTGCCCCGCCCCCCGCCGCCCCGCCCCTCCACCTGGCCGCCCGCGAGGCTGGAGACTCACCCGGCGCCGGAAGCAACTCCCCGGGAGCCGCACAGGTGGGCCCGGGCGCAGGTGAGACGGCAGAGGACACCAAGGGGACCCCGGGGGCACGGCGTCGCAAACCGGGGCCTGGGTCCAGCGTGCTCCGTGAGAACCAGCGAGCCCTGTGGGGCGCCGGGACCGGGGAAGGAGGCCCTGCTGCGATGGGGTCTCCCCGCAGACTCCAGCTGGGCTGCCCCCGGGAGCCGCACAGGTGGGCCCGGGCGCAGGCGAGACGGCAGAGGACACCAAGGGGACCCCGGGGGCACGGCGTCGCAAACCGGGGCCTGGGTCCAGCGTGCTCCGTGAGAACCAGCGAGCCCTGTGGGGCGCCGGGACCGGGGAAGGAGGCCCTGCTGCGATGGGGTCTCCCCGCAGACTCCAGCTGGGCTGCCTGCACGATTGGGAGCCGCGAGATGTCTGGGCAGGGTCCCCTCCCAGCACGACCCCCGCCCCTAGGGGCTGGCCGTGGGGCCCCGCGGTGGGGGCAGAGCCGTCCTGGGGGAGGGCCTAGCAGATTTCCGGCTCCCAGGGTAGGGTCCTCAAAGGTGGCGGCGCCCCGAGGCCTGTCCACTTCTGAGCCAGCGGCGCGACCTGCGGGAGGAATGAGAGGACCTGCTGCTGTAGACTGGGTGGCAGCCTAAGGGCCCCGGTGGAACCCTAGGAAGAGGGCTCCCTGGAAAACAGAGTTGGGAGGAGGGGGTGCGTCGTCCCAGCTGGGTGTGTCTGGTTGCCAGTGGACCGTGTCCCCTCCCTGGGGGCCTCACTCTGTGCCAGTTGCCCCACGGGAGTGGGCCTCCACAGGCTGGGAGCATCATGGCCTCAGCCCCCACCATTGTTCCTACAGCTGCAGCTGACATGGGTGAGCCCCAAGGCTCCATGCGGATCCTAGTGACAGGGGGCTCCGGGCTGGTGGGCAGAGCCCTCCAGAAGGTGGTAGCAGATGGGGCCGGCCTGCCTGGGGAGGACTGGGTGTTTGTCTCTTCCAAGGACGCCGACCTCACGTGAGTGAGCCCATTGCCGGAGCACCCCCTTCTCCCCATGTCCTTTCCAGACTGGAGAGCTCTGGACTGGACCCTCCCTCCCTGCCAGGTGGCTGGCCTGGGTGTGCTTGGCTGTTCTCCTATGCAAACATTCCCCCATCCCTTCCCGGAAGCCCATGCTCTCACACCAGCTGGGCACTGAACTTGGCCGCCTTCCCTTTTGGCTGCTCTACCTGCCACAGCCCCACCTAGTTCCTGACCCCAATGCCCCAACCCCAGAGTGCTAGTTCCCTTGGGCCTCCATGGGGTCCCTGACAGCCTGGCTCCCCCCAGGGATGCGGCACAGACCAAAGCCCTGTTTGAGAAGGTCCGGCCCACACACGTCATCCACCTTGCTGCAATGGTGGGGGGCCTGTTCCGGAATATCAAATACAATCTGGACTTCTGGGTAAGTGAGGAGGGTCCAGCCAGCACTGGGAGCCAGGAGCCCAGGTTCTGGGAACTTCCTGGCAGGCTTCCAACTCACAGGAAGTCCCTGAGGATCAGGGCTTGGTACAGCCTGGTGGGGACAGCCTGTGAGGACCCCCTAGTGACCCACACTTGGTGCTGTGGGCAGAGGGACACACAGGTGGGCCTGGGGGCATTTAGTCCAGTAGGAAAAACCATGGAGCTGACCTGTAGGGTTGGAGAGCTGAAAGAAGCCAGCATTCACTGTGACGTGAGGCTGGTTCCTTCCTCCAGATCCTTCTGGGCCTCTGGAGCCTCTAGCTCCCCTGACCAGGCCCACTGCACTTTGGGGTGCAGAGATGTGAACTGGGCTCTCTGTGTCTGTGGCATGTGCCTTGACAAGGAGGGGATATAGTGTAAGGGCCCTTGGTGCTGTGGGCAGAGGGACACACAGGTGGGCCTGGGGGCATTTAGTCCAGTAGGAAAAGCCATGGAGCTGACCTGTAGGGTTGGAGAGCTGAAAGAAGCTAGCATTCACTGTGACGTGAGGCTGGTTCCTTCCTCCAGATCCTTTTGGGCCTCTGGAGCCTCTAGCTCCCCTGACCAGGACCACAGCACTTTGGGGTGCAGAGATGTGAACTGGGCTCTCTGTGTCTGTGGCATGTGCCCTGACAAGGAGGGGATATAGTGTAAGGGCCCTGCCCCTGCCGGCTGTGCCCCTGAGGGTTGGCCCCACCTGTCTCTGGGTAGCAGCCTAGGCCTGGTTGGCCTGTACCAGACACTAGGGTCAGCAGAGGCTCAGACCAGATTCTTCCTAGGGGCCTTGTCACCCCAGGATCCTCCTTGTTTGTCTCAGCCTTCCCAGCAGGTTGCCTGGCCATCACCTCTCCTCTCTCTCCTGGCCATCTCATGTCCAATTTACAGAAGGGGAAGTAGGGCTTGGGGAGGGGTAGGGCAGGCCCAGGCTTCACTGCTGTTGGGAAGTAGAGCTGGGCACGAGCTCCTCTAGGATGGGTTAGTGCAGGGGCCACTTCTCCCCATGTTGTAGGAGCCTCACTCCATCCTAGTGTCACATTGGGCCCCCTGGGCTCCTTCCCCACCCTTCACTACCTGCTGTGCCCTCAGCAGGCCCTGCGGACGTGGTCCTCCTGCACATCCAGAATGGAAGGGCTGGACCTCCTACAGCCCCGGTGGGGGTAGGGAGGGGGCAGTAATTTCTGTAAGGTCAGCCCTGGGAGGCTTTGCCTTGTCTTGGGAGCAGTTAGGACGAGCAGGCTCAGGTACTGCCCATGTGTGAGGGACCAGGGCATGTCCCCATTTTTGTCCCTGGAGGAGCAGGTAGGGGTTTGGATCCTGCCTGGGGGACCTGATCTGCCCCCTGTCCCTCCCCTGCAGAGGAAAAACGTGCATATCAACGACAACGTCCTGCACTCGGCCTTCGAGGTGGGCGCCCGCAAAGTAGTCTCCTGCCTGTCCACCTGTATCTTCCCAGACAAGACCACCTACCCCATTGATGAGACCATGGTGAGGGCGGGGCCAGGAGGTGCTCACCACTGGGGTGGGGCCTGGCTGTGGGCGGGGCCAGGAGGAAGTGGTGGTCTCAGAGCGCATCCTGCTCGCCCAGATCCACGACGGGCCGCCCCACAGCAGCAATTTTGGATATTCATACGCCAAGAGGATGATCGACGTGCAGAACAGGTCCTCACATTTTGCCAAGGCCTATCCTGGAGTGGGGGGAAGAGGGGTCAAGCGTCCTCGAGGTGTCTGGGGTGGGCTGAGGGGTCTTCCTGCCAGCCTCTTGTTTTTCCTGTAAGGGCCAGCGGCGGGGTGGGTGGACCAGGGGTCCCAGGGTGAGGGCAGGAGACGCTGTGCCTCTGCAGGGCCTACTTCCAGCAGCACGGCTGCACCTTCACTGCGGTCATCCCCACCAACGTCTTCGGGCCGCATGACAACTTTAACATCGAGGACGGCCACGTGCTGCCCGGCCTCATCCACAAGGTGCACCTGGCCAAGAGTGAGTGCTGGGCCACCCAGTACACTCCCGCCCAGGTCACCCACCCGATAGGGAGGAGGTGGCAGTGGCCGGTACGAGTGCCTTCTGACACCCACCCCGTCCCTGCATCCACAGGCAGTGGCTCTGCCCTGACAGTCTGGGGTACCGGGAGGCCGCGGAGGCAGTTCATCTACTCGCTGGTTCGTATAGGAGGGCACACAGCTCTCCCCCCAGATTGTCTGCCCCTGTGAGCCCCGGGCCTGTCCATGCTGGTCTGTGGGGGAGGCAGTGGCGTGAGGGAGCCTGGGGATGAAGTGAGGGTCTGGGCTGAGGCCCAGGAGGAGCAAGCCCTGGTCTTTAAGGAGTCCCCGTGGGCTCCTGCCCCACTGGAGTCCTTGGGTGCAGTTTTGAGCTCAGTGGGAGAAAACACTGCCCGAAGGAAGGACCCCTTGTCCCCAGGTTGAGCCCTGGCTGGCCTCTACTAAGCAGGAGCATTTGGGAGCAGTGACTGTGGCCCTACTTGGCCACGACTGCGGCCTCTGACCCTGCCCGTCTGACCTCTAGGACTTGGCCCAGCTCTTCATGTGGGTCCTGCGGGAGTACAATGAGGTGGATCCTATCATCCTCTCAGGTGGGACCCCCAGCCCCCTCCTCCACTGTGGTTCAGGACCCATGTCTGTCCTGGGAGGCTGGCTGAGGGGTGGGTGCAGGAATATTCGTGGGGAGTTGGGTGGTAGCCCTGCCAGGCGTTGAAGGCCTGACCTGGCCATCGGCCCTCCGCTCCCCACAGTGGGTGAGGAGGATGAGGTCTCCATCAAGGAGGCTGCCGAGGCTGTGGTGGAGGCCATGGACTTCCATGGGGAAGTCACCGTATCCTTTGGCTCCAGGGATGGGGACAGGTGGGGTTCCGTGGGCAGCGCCCCGTGGTCTCCTTGTGTAATGATGGCTGAGCCTAACACGGTGTCTCCCTGAATGGTGCTCACCCTGGCAGCGGAGGGGGTCTGCTGTTCTCTTCCCCTGGCTCCCTCTGGGGAAAGGCAGAGTTGTTCAAGGGCCGGCTGGGGAGTGGGGGTTAGGGCAGGGGTGCTTCTACTGTGTCCTTGACCAAAACGACCAGTTTGATACAACCAAGTCGGATGGACAGTTTAAGAAGACAGCCAGTAACAGCAAGCTTCGGACCTACCTGCCCGACTTCCGGTTCACTCCCTTCAAGCAGGGTGAGCCCCAGCCCTTCCCCTGGTAATGCCCCCACCCCCGACCTCCCAGCCGGCCCTGGCCCCTCTTTCTTGGCTTTGCCCACTGCTGGCGCTCCCTTGTGTTCCCTACTGTGGCTTCAGCTTCCCTACTGTGAGGAGGGGGACGCCCTGCAGATTGGTCACCACACCTCCCCCCATCAGAGCATGTACTGCTTGGGAGGCGAGACACTGGAGCTCAGAGGGGGTGACTTCCCTTTGTTCCTGGGGCCTCCGCCCTTCCCATCTCTTCCTGCGGGGTCAGTGCAGCCCTGGCCCTCGCCTGCTGACCACCCTCACCTGCCCACCTCCGCAGCTGTGAAGGAAACCTGTGCTTGGTTCACTGACAACTACGAACAGGCCCGGAAGTGAAGCCAGGTGGTGGGAGCAGGCGCCCGTGGGTGCTCAGCTGGCAGAGCCCAGTGGCCAACACCCTCAGACCCTTCTAGGAGCCGAGGGCACTGCCCAGCAACCTGGGCCCACGTTCCACCTCCCTCTGCTAGGCAGCCTCAGGCAGGTGTCTAGCGGGTCCTCATTCATGTCCGTCCTCAGGGAAACCAAGGCCTGGGCAGGCCCAGCACCTCACTCCCTGATGCTGGTGTCCAGACCTGAGCGTGTCCACTCTGATCCTGCTCCCTCACTTCCTGGGAGCCAATAAAGTGCATTTTTCCAGGCCTGGCCTTGGCAGTTCTGTGCCAAGCCTTCCCGCACACCTGGTACTACCTCCACTAGCCTGGCCATCCCCTGCTTGCTGTTCAGCCCCTGAGAGCTGCTGGGAGCTGGCCCTGAGCCTGTTGGGCCCGGGTGGCTGACTGTCCCTGGCATGGAAGGGCGGCAGAGGCTGCATATGTGTGGGCAGGAAGCAGGTGTGGACTACCAGCTGGACAAGGCCTCATGGGGCAGCGCACCTCACCAGCAGCCCCAGCTCGGACTGTATGCAGCGCCCCGTCTCTCCACACATGACTGCATGAAGGCCTGGGTAACCCAAGCTCATCCGGGCCCCCTACCTCAGCACAGAGAACGTCAGGGAGAGGCCGGGTCTGGATTTGGTGAGAGGGAGGCCGGGGACTGGCTGGCTCAGGCTTTCCTGGGACTCCACAAGAGCTGGGCCAGGCCTGGCCCCTCATCTCCCTAGTGCCTCAGGCGATGGCTTGGGTGTGGGGCTCTGTGCAGAAGGTGCCCGCCGGGGAGGTCAGCCCCGGCCAGCAGGGAGGTGAGCAGCAGCATTGGCATCCCCATTCTCAGCGGGGAGGCAGCAAAGTCTGGAAAGGTTGATTGACAGGTGCGCCAGCCAGTCAGGGTAGTGCTGGGTGTGGACCCAGGAGTGTCCAGCTCCAAAGTCCCTGCTGGCCCACTGCCTTCCTTGGCCCGGCACGGAGGAGCCCCCAGGCCAGAGCCCACCTGACCACCTCCCCCAGGACCCAGGCACCTTCCCTGGCTCCAGGGCCCACCTCCTCCCTGGGCACCCTCTGCTGTCTTCACACAGAAAGCTTCCGGCTTGCTTCTGAAAGCCTGCCACATTCACTTCTTTGTTTATTTAGGCAGTATTGGTGCATCTTCCCTGGCCAGGTGTCAGATACAGACCTGTGTCCCCACACCCAGCTGACCTCTCACCACGTGTCACTATGCCTCTCCGGCAAGCCAAGGTGTCCATCCACCAGGCCTCCCCAGAGGCTACCCCTTTTCAGGTCAAGGCCTCTCCAGCTTTTAGGTCTCAGCTGAAGTGGCCCTTCCTCCAGGAAGTCTTTCTTGACTGCCCGTCCTGAGCCCCTCTCTGAGCACCCACCCTGCCCTGCAGGGATTACCTGTTTGCTTGTCTGGAAGCCCCTGGGAGCCCTGCCTCCCCTACCCACCCCCACCCCCCACAAGACTTGGAGCTCCAGGACGTGGGTCTCCTCCACAGAGTGACCCCTGGCATTGGCCTTTTGTGGATGAAGCCTCTGCCCATGTGGGGATGCAGGGAAGGCTTCCTGGAGGGGGTGGCACCTGAATTGAAGCTTGGCTCAGCCAGGTGAGGGATGCTGGGGAGGGGGCCTAGCATGAGAGCAGAGAAGTGCTGGGATACAGCTGATGGGACACAAGTCACTGTTGATGGAGTATTGGTTAGATGCTCAAGAGGCCTGGCCTGGCATGGGAGAGGGAGCTGTCAGTTTTGGGTAAATTGTATTTATTTTTCTATTTCATCAAAATATTAAGTTTATTGTTAAAAGTTGCTCATATATTCACTTATTGTAATTTTAATGTCTGTAAGTTATGTAGTAACAACCTCTCCTACATTCCTAATTTTGGTAATGTGTGTTCTTTTCTTGTAGTTAGGGTTTTGTCAATTTTGTTGTTTTCCAAAGAGCCAATTTTTTTTTTTTTTTTTAAAAGATGACCGGTAAGGGGATCTTAACCCTTGACTTTGGTGTTGTCAGCACCACGCTCAGCCAGTGAGCGAACCAGCCATCGCTATGTGGGATCCGAACCCGGGGCCTTGGTGTTATTAGCACCGCACTCTACCGAGTGAGCCACGGGCCGGCCCTCTTGCCTTTCTCTTATCCACTGTGGCTCTGGGCAGTCAGCTGGCAACCTTTATTTACCTTGTGATTCATTGAAGGCAAACGGGTTTGGTCTTTGTTCATGATGGCATGGGGCTTGTATTACTGTTTTGTATTGCTATAACAGAATACCCGAGACTGGGTGATTTATAAAGAAAAATGACATTGCAGGGGCCGGCCCGGTGGCGCACTGGAGAGTGCGCCGCTTGGGAGTGCGGCGGCGCTTCCGCCAAGGGTTCGGATCCCATGTGGAGACCGGTTCCCGCTCACTGGCTGAGTGCAGTGTGGGCGCAACACCGAGGGTTGCGATCCCGTTACCGGTCAGTTAAAAATAAAGAAAAATGACATTGCATACAGTTTCTGAGGCTGGGAAGTCCAAAGTCCATCTGGTGATGGTGACAGTGACCAGGGGTCTCACACTGCAAGATGGTAGAAGCAGAGAGAGAGACAAACTCTCCTCTTCCTTTAAAGCCCTCAGAACCACGCCCTTGACCACCATTTTTAGTCCATTCATTTCTGAACGTCCTGCAATCCAATCACCTCTTCAAGGCTCCACCTTTCAATTACCTTAATAGGATTTCCCACCCTCTTAACAGTCACAGTGGGGCTAAGTTTCTAATACGTAAAACTTGGGGGATACAATTCAAGCTTCAATGAGTTTTGGGGGACACAATTCAATCCACTACAGGGCTGGCTGCTACAGGCCCCTCTCAGCTCCCCACAGCCTTGGTCCTGAGCCACCACTGTCCCTAGGGGCCTGGTAGAGCAGGGATCCCCAGTCACTCCCAGCAGGATCAGAGGGCAGCAGTAGGGATAGCTACAGGTGGGCAGAAGTGACATTTAACACCAGGGCAAAGCATCGAGATCCTGATTCCCCAGGCAGTTGGCTCGTGTCCTTCAGCCCCGGGGCTAGAACTGAGGATGTTGCCGATGGCCAGGTGGGTAGCCCTGACCCCACCCCGAGCCTCTAGCCTGCCTCCACCTGTCCCTTCCCCCTAGGAAACAACCCATTCCTCCCTGTCATCTTCTTGGATGTCACCTCTCCCCCAGGGTGATGGAGACGCAAAGGATTACTCAAAGCCCATTTCTTCTGAGCAGTGAGAGGCCCGAAAAGGTTAATTCCAGGCAAATCCTTCAAGGGAGAAGGATTCTTGGAAACTAACCTTGAATCAGGGTTCTCTCTCAGTATTCATTGTCCAGGCAAGAAAGTTACAGAAAAGGAGTATAGGTGGTTACAAAAAGGACAGTAAGATATTTGTCGTGGCAATACTTAGTTCCCCAAGAAACTTAAAGAAACAGCTGAAGACTTTCCCATCAATAGGTTTAGCTGCACCGAGGGCATCTGCCCTTAGAGCCAGCATTTTTGCTGTGTTACAATTTTTTTTTAATCTACAACAGACTTTTTAGTCCTGGGGAAAGTTTTTCCCAAGCGTAGCATTTCTATGTGTTCGGCCCTGTGAAGTACATTTGCATTATTAATGTTAGTACCCTCCACATTCCCCCCCCCTTTATTTATTTAATTAAAAGGAAGAGCAAAAGCTATAGATCAAGGCATCACAGTTAAGACAAAAACATCTTGTTAAAGCAAAGGTAATATTTTAGCATGGGACGTCCTGTTAATTTATCCCAGGTGGGGACTGATGATGTCATCTCTCAGGGCTGTTGCATCGGCATCATTCTTGGTGCTGTGAATTGGGGTGTTATCGCCAGCTGTTGAAACTCCAGAATGGGGTTCTGTTCCATGTAATAGTTGATTTTGAGTCCAGAGAGTTTGCTGGTGTTCACCCATCCAGGACATTGCTGCTATCAAAGCATCTAGGCTTTGTACAATTTCTGGATCAATTACAGATCGTTTGTTTAGGAACAGGATGTCTCATCCAAGTCATAAGCACCCCCCTTTAAGGCCGTGAAACTTTAGAGAACTGCTTTTGTAGACAAGGTATTATTTCCCCCTTCACGATCAAAGCATTCCTTATAAAAGCATTGATGATCAATTTTCAGATTGACAAGGTTTCACTTTTCTATGTCTCGATCCCTCAGTGTTGGGAAGGCTCATTCCCAGGTTGTCATGTCCCACGTCAGGGGGACAGATGAAACAGCAGTTAGGCCAAATTAGGGCAGCATGAAGAGGGGTGAGGAACTTAGAAGAGACGTGCTATTTTTTAACCAAAGTTTCAAATTATATCTTGTTATTAAGAGAGAGTCAATTTTTATTGAACTTATGAAAATAGCCACACTGCCATAATAATCATAAAGATACTCAAAGTTTCTAAGTTTGGGGGGATCAAATAGGGAGAAAACAAATGCTTTTATCTCTGTTTTAAATTATATTTTACCAAACTGCTGTTAGTTATAGATAGTTTAAGAGAGAGTTTTCTCAAAGCTGGAAAACAAGACATTAATGAGCAATGTTTCAAAATAAAAATTGTAAAAAGCTATAATTCTTTTTAATCAGTTCATTACTTTTATGTAATTAACTTCTGTTGTTTTGACTTTGGTGAGTAATTTTACAAACCCTTTAGTTTTTTCGTTAGAATTTTGGAAATTCAGTTCAACAGTATGAATTCAAAGTTTGTCAGGAAACTGTACCTGTCAGAGTTTTTTCATGAAATTTTTGAAGACATAACATTTTAAAATTATAATTGAACCAAGATTATGACTGGGTAGCATTTATATCAAGACACAGATTTCCAAGAACCTTACAAGATTTTGGAACACATATTAATAACATCTTGGTATAACCAAAAAAGGTCAAACATTATTTCTTGTTTTGACAATGTTTTTCATATATTCTAATTTATCGAATAAACCAATTGGTTTTGATACATCTCATATATCCTTTGAGAAGCTCCAGGGCCCTTGGAACCCCTCAAAGTTAGTTTAAGTCAAAAGGCTGAGCTTTCAGAATTTAGTTTTGGAAAGTTTGTCAAATAACAAAGGATTAAAACACTTAGTTAAATAAGATCACAAATCACTACAAAAATAAAACCAAAGTGACAAAGGATTTTAAAGGCAGAAATCACAAGAAATTATGATAAAACATGAAATGTGTTTCCCCAGCCAGTTATGTAAAAGATAAAGACAGTGTTTACAATTTTGTATTAAGAGCAGTTAAGTGGGGGCCGGCCTGTGGCT